GGAAAGTGACTTAAAAGCCAGTAAGTCTGGGAATGAGACAGGATAATGTTTTTGTTATACTATGTGGTGTAACAATTTTATGTATAAACATACTATTAAATTCTGAAATGCTTAAAATCGAGTGTAAAACTAACCACAACTTGATCTGTAATGATGCAGAGTATTCTGTTAAATTCTGTGGTAAATTTCTGTGATGCTTTGTGTGAACTGGTGAATGTTAATGTCATCTTCAGAAAAGTTACTGTATATCTAAGATCTGTGTGTGGGGTTTTTGTTTTAGTTTTAAGTTCAGTATTTTGATTGTTTACCTTTAAAGTTCTGTCCTGTGCAGAAAGTACAAGTTTACCTGCTTTATAATATTTTAATTTCATACAGAAGGCAATCATCTAAATAGCATAGATGCATTTCCCTTGCTAACTCAACTCATTTATAAATATGTAACAGATGTTGTGGATTAATTGATAATAATTTATAGGGTAGTATGTAGAAAACAAAATAAACGGGGAAGGTGAATTGCGTGTAAGTTAAAGCCTAGTGAGATCCTCTTCCTACAGAGGATTGGGGTGCTGTATGTGTAAACTTGTAAGCTTTGCAGAATCTGGCTCAGGTGATCACTTGTAAGTTTAAATATATGGTAAAAATCTGTGTTGCTTCTTCTGGTTCATGTTTTACATCTGACAAAGTCATTTTTGTAAGCTCTCTGAGGTGGTACTCTTGCGTCGTAATTCTAAGTATAATATGCTATTCAGATAGTGTCATTCTAATGTGTAATATTAAAGGGTTACATTTTTATTGAAATACTTTTGTGGATGCAAATTATTCCTGGTTAAAAGGGGATGTGCTGATAATTGAACCATAATAAAAGCATTGGAGCATATGGGTTTACTCTCAGGCAGAGTTCTGTGGCAGAACAAATTTTCTGCACGAAATTTTTGGCCTAGAATCTTCCCTTCCTAAAATGATCACTGTGGGCACTTAAGTTTTGAATATCTTACTGAGATACTTTAAAAGAATGTAACCTTTCAGAAAGTTTTGAACAACTAACCTTCAAAAGAGTTGGCCATTTGAAAATACATGAAAATAAGTTTCTAAAAGAGTTGGCCCCTTGAAAATGTAGGAAAGTAAATTCCTAAAAGTACAGTTACATGTCGGCACAGAAGTTGGTAGGAGAGGGGGAGAGTCTTTTGTTTTGATTGTCTTTTTTTTTTTTTTTTTTTCTTTAGTCCTTTTTTGCTACAGCTCCAGCCTATAAGGTGGGGAATGTAGAACTTCCAGATTTCAATGGGTTTAATGGAAATACGAATTCCAGTTGATCTGGCTCTTGTAATGAGGGTCATAGCTTAGGTAACTAGACTTCCATTTTTAGTCTGGTTCTCTATTTCATGCATTAAAATAGAACAGAAATCCGTAAGCTGAATAAAACGTCTAAAAATTAAACCAAAAAAGGTAACTTACCTTCTTAATGCTGAACCTAGAAAAAACGAAAGCTACTTTTAGAAAAGTTTTATGGGAGGAAGAAAAGGACAGAGAAGCTGTACAGGGTCTCTGTGCTTAAATGTAACTTTCTCCTTTAAAAAAACCCAAAAAGCACCACTGAACACACAGAATTAATGCAGAGATCAGTTTTGTACCAATTTTTAAGTTACAGAACATTATTAAGGAAACATCAGCAATCAAAGATCCATGTTTCTTGCTCTTGTGAACATGAAGAGAACTGTATTTTCTTGACAAACAGCCTCCATAAATGGTGCTGAAAATCTGGATTTTAGTGTACTGGAACTATGTTTCGTCAAGTAGAAGCTTTAATTTTTACATTGGTGGAATACAATAATGTCCCATTTTTCCCCTCTCCCATTCTGAGAAACTTTTCTAAGTATTTTATACAGTGCCGGATCTATTTCTGAGTCCTTTCCTACTCCCGGTCTGGGCATAAGTACCAAGAACACAAGGAATACATTAGTTTGTGTTAGTTATGTGAATCTGTGGTGGGAGACTACCAAGTTCTTTTGTTTAAAAATAAATAAATAAATAAACACACTGTAAATTAGGGAGGAAAGTCTGTTTCTGTGTAATCCCACTTCATGTAAAAACAAGGCTACGTGTTCCTTCTTAAAAAGGCAGAAAAGATTAAGGAGCCAAAGCAGACAAGCAACTTCCTGCAGGTTCCCGGTTCAAGTCTGTGCGAAAAGGACATACATATGCTCCTTGTAGAGGAAATTATTTTTGTCTCTGTATGCAGCATTCATGATACTTTGGGAGAGCGTAAAGAAGAGACAATGACTAAGTGTTGGAGAAAATAGTTTAAGACGAGAGAATTGAAGAGCTGTGTCTTCCGTCGATCACAAGGATAAAGGTCAACTCAATGTTTTAGAGACATTTTCCTCAGGAAAAAAAAAATCAGATCCTTCATTAATGAAGAAAGCTATAACAGCAGCATATAGCTGGAAGTTTTAATGTTAAAGTAATCGAGGACAGCAATAGTCTCTCCATGCATGTATTAGTCATGTGGATTGTGTGCGCTGTAGAGGTAGCTATGAAGTGGGATGATGTGTGGAGGTGGCCAGACTAGATGATTTCCAGATCACACTCTTCTAAGGTCTACATTATTATCTCCATGCTGTATCTGCTTCCCCCCCGCCCCTCCTTCTTGCCATAATTCTTGGTCAGGGTATGCATAATGAGTTCCAAACTTCTTGACCAATGCAAGGTTCCAAATTTCTGGACCAGCAGCTTATTGAACCGCTATAGGTATCCTTTGATGATTAGCAGAGGCTCTCTTTTGCTCTAGATGGCAAACCTATCAGATGCACAAGTGTGTTTTCCCTCCCTTAGAAGGAAAGCTGTTTTTCAGCATTAATAGAAATAGTTTGTGGGGTTTTAAAAAAAGTATTATTTTCAGGTAATGCCAGGACAAAGTTCCCATTAAGTAAAATGTTGTATTTTTATTTTCTGCCATCTGAAGTGATAGAATTTATTGCAAGAATTCGGTTGTTGTTAATTGTTTGGCTTGAATTCCAAAAACTTGCTTTTGGTTATGCTATCAAGTGTGATCTTAGGAAGAAGTCAGGGTAAAATGCATTTTCTAGAAAAGTTGCAAAGTCAAGGAATTTTCTACTTTCATGTTACTCTTCCAAGGTATAGCTGTATTCTGAAGGTATGCTTTTAGTGTTAATTGGGTTTTAATGATAATAATACAGATCTACCAGTGCTCCTCTAAGTTTTTTCTGAGGTGATCGGCACCACATTGTTCTTAAATAAATAAATAAATACAAAATAATTGGGGGGAAAAAAAAAAAAGACCATCGTCTGAAATCCACCCCTCCAAAAAAAACCTCTGGAAAGGCAGAACCACAGTGCCAGTTTTATGTATGCAAGTGTCACACAGTAATTAGGTGGTAAGATGAGAATCACTGTTCAGCTGGTTGTGTGGGCAAGCCTTTAGATTGCCTCCTGAAGAATCTAGGAATAGTGTATTACGAACTGTTGTGTTAAGATTGAGTCTTTAAAGAATAAGGGTTTTTTTTCGTTGGTTGGTGTTGTTTTTTTTTATTTGGCTGCTTCAAAGTTGACCCATGCCTGGGGAAAGCATGAGGGCCTATTTCAGGAAATGAAACATTTAATGTGCCTGCAAAAGTGCAGCATTCCTGTGTGTTGACTGGGAGACACCCTGTTTAACTGCTTCCGATCTCTTTAGTATTTGGAACTAGTGCTTTCCGTTCCTTCGCATCAAGTGAATGGTTCCACTGCTTTCTATGTGTAATTCCCATGCCACATTTAAATGCATGGGCTTAAAGATTATCTTCTGCCACCCTCCTTTCTCCTGAAAGTCTCAATCATTGCTTTCTTTTTCCCTTTAAACCTTCTGTCTTAAAACCTTTTGATTTGCCTCTTGCTCTGTTTTCTTGTACGTAGTCTAGAACTCGCTTAGTGTTCTGCCCCATGGGTGGAAGTGGATATAATGGTTGTGCCTATGCTCTAGTCATAGCTCCGTTTCTTGTGTACTTGCCCTGACCTCCTGAAAATCGTGGTCTAGTTTGTTTAAAGTGGAATTGGTTTTTTACTGTCCTTACTTTAATATTTCAAACTCTAAACTTCAGCTGTTCAGCTGCTGATCTCTAAGTGGTGTATCAGTTTCTGCAAAACTAGAGGTTTGGTAATCCTGTGGATGGTCAGGTACGCACTTGCCACTCTGCACCACTAAGTTTATTGCTAGCTAAGCTGCCTTGCTTTAAGAGTTGATCTTAGCAGTTAATATAGCACTGTCTTTTCCAAGAGCACTCTGGCTCCACTACAGTGATTATGCAAGATGTTGGCAGAATGCTGTGATACTGCAAAAATTGAACATGTATTGGAAACTTTTATAGCAAGATTTGTGATAGAATTGAGTTGACAGTCCTCTAGAGCTACATAATAAAATAGAATTTAAAATGTTCCATGCTTTTGGCCATACTTTCAATTGATTGTTTCTGTGCTTTATATGCTAGCAGTGATGTAAGATGATAAAGATTGATGTAATTCTAAAAAGGGTTAAAAAACTATGATGCAATAAAGAATTAGAAGGGGACTTATAAAAGATCTGTCTGCAGTGAAAGATGATGCCTCAGTGTATAGAGTTGGTGAAGGGTATAAAGGTTTTGTTTGCCTCACCTTTCTTCATGTTTTGGGGTGTTTTTTTTGTTTCACATCAGTATTCTGAAAGGGGAGAGTTTTGCCTTTTGAAATACCGTCTTCCTATTCCTCCGTGCTTCCATACTATTGTTCTGTCCACCTAGTTTCTCTAGTCTTATGTAGTTACAGAACAGGACAGGGAGTGTCTTTTGGTTCAGTGTGTACTAAGGCTTGAAAGAATTGATTAAAACGATCAATTTAAAATTAATCTAGATAAGTTATCATGAACTTCCTTAACTGAGGATTTGCACAAAACCATCTAGGAGGTTGTGGGAAGAGAGTCTGGAAACCTTCCTGGGGTACACAAGAAAGCACATCCCTCTACACTCACAATGATGTTTCCATCTGAGACCGCACAATCAAAGGAGTATGGGGAGTTGGGCCAGACTGGAAAGTGTGTGGTGGAGCTTGGAGGGAGTAAGGAGGCAGCAGTGGGAATCCAGTGCTGCTGTTTGCTTCCTCTCAACCTATTTGTCTACAGAGCAGAGGTGGTCCTCACTTACCATCCTTCCCCCACTTTCTTAAGTAAGCTTAGCTGTGTCTAGTAATTACAGCTGGGGACAGTGATGGTCTTTCTGTTGTAGAGTTTGGGCAGTGTCATTAGCCTTGTTTCTATTAAATTAACAATTAAAACAACTGTACAGTGCTAGTCCTGATGGAATTCTGGTTCATGACTGGGGTTTGCAGGCATTACTGTCATGCAAACAATGAGTGTGCAAGAGGACACTGCTTCCTGTTTTAAAATTCACTAGGCACTTTACGGCATGCCGTACTGAACTTCATTAGCTTCAGTTTAAAAGAATGAAAACTTCAAGAACTTGTTTACCAATAATAATTTTTCTTTTAAATATCTTCAGTTCTTCTTAGTGGGTAATGGTATGCTGTGGTTGACTGAATATTTCAAAGAAATAAAATCAATGTTCTGTTCTGTTTTTCAGAGAATGCAGAATCAATTGATCTCAAACAGTTTTTTGACCTACATTTCTCACATATATATTATGTGTTCTTTGAAAACTTTGTGACTATTGAAGTAGGTCTTAAACAAAAAGGTAAGTATTTCAAATAAACCACTTTTTGTCTTGGTGCTTGTGTTTTTATTATAAAATAGAGTGCTGTAAAGAAAGCTGTGTGTCTGTGGTCACGAATGGCAACATTAGCTGTGCAGAAATATGTGCAAATGAAGGCAGGGCAATTAGAGGTGCATGCAGTGGAGGTGAGTAAGGAGAGTTTGTTCTCCAGTGACTGGTTTTGCCTTTTTGCAAGGTGAGGATTCTACTTTTTGTGTTCTGCAGAATTATTCTAAGTTTTGTTTAACAAGGTATTGTGTAACTTAATGTCTACCAGCTGTTGATGCCATAACAGAAAGTTATACAAACTGTAACTGTTATAAGCATTACTATGAAATATACTTTTTTATATTTGTAGAAGGAATGCAAAATTATGGTTGTAGAACTGCATGTTTTTGTTTTACACATCTAAGGATCTTTGTCAGTGTTCTTTACATTTTGTTTTGATAATCAAAGTGTATCCTCTATTTATTTTTAATTGCACCTAGGTCACAAGTCTCAGAGAGAAGAATTAGATTCTATTCTTTTTATTTTTGAGGTAAGATAACTTGAATATTCCTGTATGAGTTTTTTGCTTTGAATTAAGTCCTGTTAAATAATAATAGTGCAGCTGTTCTACAATTGCCTGGAAATATGCTTTACATTTAAGTACATTCCTTTTGCTTAGCTTTGAATATATACGCTTTCTGTGAGAAGAAAAATAATTTGACTTTCAGTTTTGCAGGAAGATGTCTTAACTGGAAAAAGATGTTTTCTGCGTCTGCAGATAGTTCATTATTTTGGTGATGGTGTTTCCCCCCCCAATGTACTATACACTTTGAAATTCATATAAATGTGATCTCTGATTAGTCATGATCTTTTTGACCTTTTGATTGCATGTTATATCTGATTTTTCACATAATAGTTTTTATAGGTCCCTTTTATTTTTGAAAAGATTTATTATTTGAAAATAGCATTTCACAATATCCTTACCAAAAGCATATCTTGACTTAATTAAGATGAATTAGAAACCGATTTAATGAAATCAGAACATTTCTGAGCAGAGACTATAGTTTAGAAATAGCTTAGAATGTCAAGGTTTTGTCTTTCCTTTTTGATGGGGGCTTCTGATTATAGAACAAGGATTGTGGTTTTTAAAAAATATGTAGAATTGAAAGCTGATGAATACTTACCACATGGTTGAATACAAATCCAAGATATTTTTTTTTTAGTAAGGTACGTTCTTAAAACTGTAGGGTTAGCTGTAACAAGGAGAGTGAATCTGAAGAGAGCTAGTTAATTTGTTCAGTAGTTCCTACGGAAAGGGATGTTAGGTGACATGTGCTTTGGAAACAGTTGACAGGCTGCTGGAGGGCCACGGCCAGGAATTCATTTGGGAAATCAGGTTATTTACAAGTTGCTAATGCCTCCAGCATTAACGTTGAAGTGCTATATAACAGATTTTTAACTGCCTGTGTCACTAACTCTGCTCTGTTTCTTGCCATCTGAAGATGATCATCCTTCAATCTATCCAGAGAGGTGTTAAGACCATTATTGCCTCAGGTCTTTTCTTCATTGTTTTGCTGTAGCTCATTACCCCTCTGTTGAGAAGGCTGAAGCAAATGTTTGCTTGTGCCACAGAGGCAAGTTGGCAGCTGAGCATTCTAGCTTAAGCCACTATGAAGGTAGAATAACCTAATACAACCTGTTATGAATCAGAGCAACTGAGACAGATACTCACCCTATTCCACTCCCTATGCTATAAGCAGCAATATCCAGCAGAGAGACAGTGGAGCCAGATAAACTGCAGTAACATCTGAAGTCTCCAATGCAGAACTTGCCAGACAGTCTGTCAGAGCCTTTGGGCTTCTTAGCTTTAGGAGTGGGATTGTCTTGAAAGGACAGTAATACTTCCAAGGAAAGCAGTGTGGAAATTTTCTAAATTAACCCTTCAGCTTCTATTCCATGGCCTTTGTGAAAGCGCTCTTTGGTCTTCTGAGAGTGCTATCTGCAACATAGGTCCTTGGGTTCTGTTTTTTGTAGAAAATTTTGCAACTCCTTCCAGAAAGGATTCATCAGAGGTGGCAATTTCATAGTATTGGTGAGTTGATTTTCTTTCTTTCTTACTTTTTTAAAAATCTTTTATTAGTAGCTATTCGTAGTTTGTGCTACTTATTTCCTTAACCTTGAAGTGGCATAACGGGGATTATGGTCTTGAAACTCTTGCAAGCTAGAAGAGCAAAAAAACCAAAACAAAACCCAAAACCCAAACCAAACCCACCAATGTAATGAGTGCTCTTCTAGATAGAGTTAAATCTGGGAATCTGGAAATAGAAGAGTGGTTGAGAAAGAACAACGGCAGGAGGAAAGTTGCTTTGTAATTATTTTTTTCCTAATTTTTTCTCTCTGAGTAATAAATTTCAAAATTACAGTGAGGTCTGTATTTGTAAACAGGGAATGCTGATATTATGTACATTAATGACCTGAGAATCATTTACTTTTAATGTACACATCCCAAAAAGTCCTGGGGAAAGATGTTATGGGTTATGAGGAAGCTATGAAAGGTGATCTTTTTGCTTTTTCCTCTTGGCATTGAGAGAGTTGCCTGAGGACATCAAGTTCACCAAGATTAAATTGGAGATTGCCAAGGACTTGTTTAAAAGTGACTATCAAGTCTGACCGAGAACTCTGACATCTTACTTAATAAAGAAGGAAGAAACAAACAAACAAAAATACAATTCTTTTTTCCCTCCTTCTTTTTAGGGTTGATTTTAAAGAAGCTTCTTCACACTGGAAATTCATTAAAGGTATTGGAAAAAGTTGCATACTACTTTTGTCTAAAGTACTTAAAAATACAAATAAGAACATAAGGGCGAATTTTTATGCTAAAAACACAGGAATGAGAACCAGATCATGACTTGTGTATCATGAAAGAATGACTTCAAATCATCAGCTTTACCTCGGTAGAACTACTCACAGTAGTAATGAGTTTATATAGATAGCCAAGTCAAGAATGTATGCAAATGGTTTGAAGGATTTTGCATTAAAGCAGAAGTAGGCCTTACCCATTCATTGCTAGGGGCAAGGAAACTGTGTTTAGGGCTCAGGCTGTCTTGGAGGTGGAAGATTATCTACGCCAAAGAGACCTGTTGGTGGGTAGTGTAGTAACGGTTGACTGTGGGACAAAAGCTACCCAAGTGTAACATGTAGTTTTGGTACTGCAGCAACCAACCATGCCGCTCCTCTGTAAACCACCTGCAGGCTTGGCTGGTGCTGAAATTCTCCAGTGTGAGAGCCAGGAGGGGACTGCTCTAGGACTCCATCACCTTTCTTGAAGAAATGGAAGAGGGTAGAACAGGTCCTTCTGCTGCAAAAAGCTCATTCTGTTGTTGTAATTCACGAACACATTTAGAAATTTTATGACTGACTGTATTTTCTGAAAAACTCACATGGCATCTTGCAGTGCTGTAGTCAAGCAAGGGACTAGACGTGTTGGTTTTCTTCCTCTGCTTTCAGAGGAAACCCTGTGAAAGAGGTTCTGTGAGGCAAACAGCAGTGAACGTGCCAAGGTTGTCCTTGGATTTCAGCAGGAGCAGCAGATGCACTAGCTTGGCTCTGCTGATTGCTGGTGGTCATACTTAACTCATCTTTTCTACCACTCCCCTTCTCCTTCCAGGACAATGGAAATGCTTTTGTATGTTCTGGGACAAGTTAACTTGTTCCGTTTTTTTCCTTTAAGATACGGCGAGAGGGTGTGCGTCTCTTTCTTTTGTGGCTGCAAGCACTTCAAAATAACTGTAGTAAAGAACAATTATGGATGTTTTCTTGCTTGATTCCTGGATTTTCATCACCACAGTCTGAATATGGCCCCCGAACACTAGATAATCTCATTAACCCTCCACTTAATGTTCAAGAAAGTAAGTAATTTGGTAGTATTACTTAATTCTCTACATAATTCAATTCTCAGCACAGAAAAGGCAAGTTGAAGTAACAAAGAACTAACATACATATGTACCCAGGGAGATTATGGAGCTGTTAGTGAGTTTCTTGGCAGTTTATCAGGTCATCTTCCAATAGTAACTTTGTCTTTTTTTTGTTGTTTGTCAGGGTGGGTTGTTTTTTGTTTTATTTTGTGGTTTGTGTTTGTTTTTTGGTTTTTGGTTTTTTTAAAGTATGGCTATAGTAGCTTAACACATAGTGGGTGAAAATAAACTGACCAATTTTATGTAATTCTTCTTAAGAATTACAAGCAGATGCTGCAGCTACTGCAAACTTGCACAGACAGATTCTGCTTGTGTTGAACATTTGCACTGGCTTTGGCCATACTCCAGGGAGCAAGCTTCGCAAAGCAGTTTCTGGCATGGTCTTCAAGAGAATGAGTCGTTGTTAGAGCAAAGTGTAAAGCCAAATGGTTGATCGTCCTGCTATGTCTGTGTATGACCAGGCAATTAAAGCTGTGGTATTCTTGTGGCTCCGAATCTTCCCAAAGAATTGGACCTTGTAAATTGCAAAACCTGAGGTCAGAAAGGTCTTCATCAGTTGAAAGGGTTGAGCATTCTGAGATAAGCTTTTTATACTTTCTAGATTTTTTTTTTAATGTGAAGATCATTATCTTGACTCTAATCAATAGAGTGAAGATGATTTTTTCTCTTAAGATGATTCTTATGACAGTTTTTCTTTTGACTGTTGACTCTAGCAGTAAGTATCAGATACTCGCTACTTTGGGCAGCCTCTTGCCTCCTAACTCAATTTATTCCTGTTAGTAGGATTTTAAGCTCATTTATTAATGAATTACAATTGGATGGGGTCGTAGTGCAAACATAAATGTGAACAAGAAGCTAACCACTTTTTCCTCTGAACATTAAGTGCTGTTGCCTTTTTTCCACCTCCATCCAATGTTTTAGAGCTGACACAAGCATTGCTTGTAGAAGCAAGCAGTGTCTCCTTGACAGGTAATTAAATTTACTGAAACTTAGCAGGCAAATTTCATGGCAGGATAGCTCTGCAGATAAAAGTTTGCTACATACTTTAAGCCGTGTTTTGGAGTTATCTTGTGTTACATCTCTACAGCAGGAAAGGAGGAACATATCTAAAGGCGATGTAGGCAACATAGAAATGCAGAGTGCAAAGAGTGAAATGCAAACATCTAACTACAGGAACAAGAGAAAAATAAATTCTGAAGTAGCTTCACTGTAGAGGCAAAGGAAGGATAGAGCTAGTAAAACTTAACACAAATATAACTGATCAACTACTAAATGAAGAAAACTGTGAGAGATGTAAATAAAGATTCAGCATTTGTGCAGCACAAATGTTACACTGTTACTTGCATAAATTCCGAGAGAAATGGATTATGCCTTTTGGAAAAATTGGTTCCTGGCAGGTGGATTCCCAAGGTGCATAGGGAGAACTTAGTTATTATCTGTTGTGTTTTTATATATGTAAGAAATCAGTTCTATGGTGGTTTACTAGCTAAAATTTCCTAATTTTCGTTAATCTATGGGTGGATTGTTTTGCGTGTAACTGTCTCTGCTTACCCCAGTATGTTTCTACTTTCATAACTGGGTAGATCCTTATGCATGAGAACACATGGTCTAAATGTTAGATGTACTTCTTTTTTTCTTTTATTTTAAATAGCTCAAGTGACTATAGAGGAAATCACTCCACTTGTTCCTCCACAATCAGGAGATAAAGGACAAGAAGATTTAACAAGCTATTTCTTAGAAGCACTTTTGAAATACATAGTAATTCAGGTATGTTCTCTAGTTTTCAAGCAAACGAATATGAAACAACTAACACCTGTTTGTCCATTACAAGAAGACATTTACTAGTAGCACTGCAAATGTATATAAAAATGTTTTAAACGTTCCTGCCCCTCGCCCCTCCCTCACGTGTCCTTTGTAAAAAGCAAATTCTCCTAGAAAATCTTCACTTGTCTTCTGTGTGAAGATTCATAGGTCTGTTATCACAGGGTCTTGCATCAGATTGCAGCATGGAGAAAAAACAAGACTTGTCAGTCACTTCCAGCAAACCAATTCCAGCTCCCTTCCCATTTTCACCTTCCCCTCCCCACCCTGTTGCCTTCAACCAGTGGAAGGATCAACTGGACTCACTCTTACTATGTGGGTTTTGTGGTGGTCAGGGACTTTGCTTTTCAAACTAAGGGGAAACTTCTAACTGAAAGCATTGGATTTTTGTGATATGGGCTTTTAATGAGTCCCAGACTTTTGCTGGCCTTTTTCCTAGGTTTATACTTGGTCTAGCTGACAAAACCAAAGAGAAATAGGATGTCAGACTCAATGGTTTCTAAGACTGGGACTGCCAGTGTCTGTGCTTAGGGTCATATTTTTCCTCCAGCTGTCTTTCTGGAATTTCTGCTGTTACAGTAGATTAACTATACAGGCTTTCCATTCTTTAACGGAAACACTCTGAGCTACTGGAAAGCCCTGGTTAGTAGAAATGGGAGTTTAGAGCATGACACAGGGATTATAGCTTTCTAGCAAGAGCTTGTGTGGTGGGGTTTTTTTGTTGTTGTTGTTGGGGTCTTTTTCTGATGAACAAGATATTTATTATCCAGATCTTGCAGGGATGGTGCTGTGACTCCTGTTGGTATCTTAACTGTACTTTCTGGGACTTTAGTTTTAGGAGACCTGTAAGCTCAGGCATAATACAGTACACTGCACAGAGAAAATTTGGGATTGCTGCTACAGCTGAGCAAGTGAACCTTTTCAAAAGAGAAGCAATGGGAAACAGTACATATTTGGAATACTTCAGATCTGACAAATCTTATGAGTTAGGTTCTGCTTGAAGGTAGCTGCGCTGCTGAGATTACACTCCCTTAGTGGCATTGCTGTGTAAACACCAGGTAGTAAGATCTTGCAGATCCCAAGCTACCTAAAAGGCAGATTTATGGAGCTGAACTGTGCACAGAAAATGAAGACTTGAATGAGTATGTAGTCCCCGGTGTGCAACTCGGGTGCATGCTATGTCCTTCCCTTCATACGTTAACACTTCCATGATCTCAGCCTGTACTTCAAATGCCTGGGACAGGGCATGGCAAGAGCTCCTATCAAAAACTGTGGCCTAGGTATTATATTTTATGTCATTTGCTGGCCAGTTAGCACATGCTGCTTCTGAGCCTGCTCTCTTCTAAGCCTGTAATGTGCCCAGCAAACTGCTTGACTGCATAACATGCTGTAGGTGTTCAAGGTACTGCCTTCTGGGTCAGACTTGTCCAGCAGAACCCAGTCAGTTATCTATCAGTAAGTTTTTTGTCACACTTTTGCAGGTTGTGCTAGAGAAGGTGGACAGTGCACAAATACAGCCAATGTTAAACTACAACATTTCATGGCTTCCCTTTATCTATCTTACTCTGTGAACTTGCGGTGCTGGAATAATTTGCAACCTCAGTTTGTTGCTTCCAGCATGTCCCAGTTTGAATAGAGGTCATCATACTTGTGATTTGTAGGGTAGGCTTAATGATGAATTCACTTTGAATAAAAATACCCCTTACATTCTTGAAGACAACTGCCCTCTCTGTAATAAATTGGTAGCATTATATTTAAATTTAGGTAAGTCATTGAGACAGGTGTCATAGAATTTGTTCGCGATGTGAATGCTAAGGTCTTTTGCTGAAGTCTCTTTAGAGGCACTGAAAATTTCAAGCTTAATAGCTATTTCTTTGATATAAAGTTCTGCTAAAGGACTTTCTGTCACTAATTTCTACATATTAGTCACCTATTGAATTGTACTGGGGGGAGAGAGAGATATATGCATGTATATTCCATTCTAAAGGCCCATTGCTCTGAAAATAGATCATAATAGAACAGTGGACTTTGAGTAAGTAACAGAGGAGGGGGGAAAAGGGGGGAGGGGAAGCGGGGAGGTGGGGGGCGAGAGAAAGCAAAGCTTCCTTTATTTTATTTATGGTAGACTTGGCAGATTACCCAGCTCTGCAGACAGATGGATTCTCCAGGACAAAGATGGAAACTGCATGTTGGGTTTATTATTAAGGAGAACTTACCATGCTTTTCAGTAGGAATACATTTCATAACAGGGAAGGCTTAGCACTTATGATCCTTGAAAGTAGATTTGTGTAATTCACTTTAAAGTTGTATCTTCTGCTGCTTGTGGTTGACAGATTTGTTTGTTTCATATTGCCAACCGCACAAATGAATCCAGGTACCTACTATAATGAATATATGGACACTTATTAGTCGAAATGTGTTAAAAGAAATTGTCAAACAAATGTTCAGGGTAGCATGGGTAATTGTCCTTTTCTTAAAACATTTTGAAATGTAAAACCAGTTTTATTAAAAACAATCAATTTGAGTTTACTCCCTGACTCGGCAAGATGACCATAAAAGCAGATGTATTTCTATTGGTTTCAGTATTTGATGTGTTCAAGTTCATTTTGAAGCAATGTTTTGGGAGAGAACAGTCTTTGTTTCATTGACATTTCCTAGCTAGTTTCTGTTCCATCTTTCTAAAAGTGTTTATTAAAATGCATATGATTTTGTTCCAAAGAAATAACTTATAAAGAAGCCATTTCATCAGTCATCTTTCTCTTCTACTTCTAAATGTTTACTTTATCCAACTTCTTTTTTTAAGGTTAAGAGTTTAGAGTGGAAGAACAAGGAAAACCAGGAAAAGGGATTTTCGTTTTTATTCTCAAATTTTAAGAAATACTACTTACCTTCTATTTTCCCAAACATCTGTAAGGAGACCAGCTTGTATAACCCTATAGTTGGTAAGTATTAACACAGCTGATAAAATCATTACATTTTCTCTAATAGTGTGTAGCAAAGCAGTTTTTGCTTGAGTCATGTTGCCCGTAAAGAACATTGTCCAAAAGTATTTCTTATGAAAGAACATGTTACAGTTCCTGTTCATGGTTTTCAGTTCTCTGTTCGTGGAGGCACCTGACCCTTTCATTAGACTCAATCTTGCTATATTAACCTGATTCAGGTAAATTAAATGTTCTTGTAAAACCGGTCTTTAATGTGACCTCTGTTGTTGATTTAAGTTGTGCTCTGAAGAGAAACTACTGCTGCTGAGCTAAAAGGTGTTAGTGTGCTGTTCTTTGTGGGATGTTGGCTTTATCTATACAGAATCATAATATTTGGATCATACAGTGCTTGCTCATAGTTCAGACAGGGCAAAGTTAGTTATGTTTTTGTGTCAACTGTATTTTGTCAAGAGCTTGCAGTAGGAAGAGGAAGCTAGGGTTTAACACAATCTTTAAAGCTGATGGTGCTAGACTATATCTTTCCATATAGAGAGTGGAATTTTCGGGGTTTGCTAGGCAAACCTAACTAGAATTTTGCTCAGAGGTTTTTAGTCCATTCTAAACTAGCACATTGTTTGCAGATCTTGATTTTGCTACTCAGGTTTGTGTGCACCCATACGCATCTTGGTTGTAAGCCAACAGAGTTCAAGACTCTTGTTTGCAAAGCAGTACCATGTACACAGGTTTTAAGCTGCCATTTCTTTACTTGGATAATATGGACACCTCACTGCTCCTCTTACCTGTTGCAGCATCTTGCAAGGATTAGTAGTGATCTCCAGACACAATTTCATATTCTAAAATCAAGCTGTCAGGGAAGTTTGTTGAAAAGGTCTTAGTTTCTGCCAATCCATGTACATGTGTTTGGATTGTGGCTTTCTTCAGAGATGGATGTTTCAAAACCATGTTCTCCTGGGAAAGACAAACAGTGGACCTTCTCACCTAGGGGAGAAGAAACAGTATAAATCCAGCCATAAGCAACAGTAGAAAAAGAGTTGTGTGAAGATACTGAAGAGGTTCAGTGATAAAATAGCAACCAGAGGGATGGTAAGCAATGCTGAGAAAGCAACCCTACTGCTGCTTGACATCCTTGAACAAGAAATGTGGAAACGATATTGTCTCTTTATGAAGATCTTGACTGAATCTTCCACAGAAGTTTTACTGTAGTCCTCTTTTTCTGTGAACTGTAAACAAGAAACTTACCAAGGCCTTACTAAAGATGAGGACAAAGGGGAACAAGAAGAAGTAGGCACAGATCTCCCAAACTACTGTCAGTGTCTTAAACTCTGCCAAGTCAGCAACAATAATGAAGATGTTTGGGAAGAATACACTAATGAAAGCAACAGAAACACTGGTAAGTGGGATAGTCAAGCTTGGGCACTGAGCCTGCTACTAAAACAGTTCTTATGCTACTGGTGTAAAGTTTAATTTAGGAGAAGTCATGAGGTACAAATCAAAACAGTAGTTTTAGTAAGCAAGCATTGATACAGGGCTTTACCGGAGATAGTATATTGGATTGACATTTTTCCTTTTTTTTTTTTTTTTTTTTCATTCTGTTAGAAGAGCCCATGAGACTATTTTGTTTTGAATGTCTTTTAAGATCTGTTTAGATTCTGTAAGATAGTCTTTAGAAACTGTTCAGTAAGAACTACAGATACGGCAGTAAGATTCCATTTGTTTCTTCCATCATAATAATGTGCATTTCTGTGCCGTTTCCAAGCCATTTAGATGGGCTCCTTCATTTGCAGGGGAACAATGAAGTGGGCTGTCGTACAGCTCTCTGCACCTGTTCATTCCTTCTGAACCCTTTAATGACTTAAAAAGTAAGCATGGTCAAAACTACAGGTGTCCACCATTGTAACCTTGTTTTTGCTATCCTTTTCACTTTCTACACTGAGTATGTCTTACACCACGTACAGCTTCCTGCCCTTTTTGGCATCAGCTCACATCAAGTTCCCAGAGGGGGAACAGCAGGGGGTGGGAAAAGCCCAAAACAGAAAGAAAAAATGGAAATTTGGGGGAAGGGAATATTTCCTCTATTTAGGTCAATCTAATAAGCTTCTGTTTTGCTTTGGTTTTACATCAGTGTCCTCATCTGGAGCTTTGACACCTGCTTCCAAGATGGACAGAAATGTGACAAGAAACAACTGAAGAAGGATACATTTGAGAAGCAGCTGCAGCACATAATAGTTCAGAGGGAATAGAGAGAGAATGTTCTGAGAGGGTATCATGAAACTGCAGAAGGAGATAGTGTGCTGCAAAGACATGTTTACTGCATGTCTACTGGATGTCTTGTCCTTTTGGAAATACTGCCAGTATTGCAGCCTTTATGCCCTGCTGAATGCTAATAGATACCAGAGAGAACTGATTTTTACATCTTTAAATAGTGCACTACTAGGCATTTGCTTCCTTTTTTTCACTGATTGTGTTGTTATACATGCTTCTGTTTAAGATATATTAATTTTTAATTTCCTTACTAACCTGCTGCTTTCCACAGAATGAAAACGATGTACTGGTTTTTATTTGTAGCAAATAAACTCTTTGTAAGCTTTTTTTAAAAGTATTCTGTGCATTTGTTACTTACTTAGGTGAATGGTATGCAAGAGTCATATAGTTTTTTCCTCCAAAAATAATGCTTCCATTAAAAATAGTGGATGTAACTTTAAAGTATGTTCTGGAAACATTCCTCAGTTTAGCATCATCGGGATGAATTTATCACTAGTAGTTTATCACTACTTTTGTATGTGGCAGTTGAAATGACACTGACGTATACCAGCTTGGATTTCCTCAATGCTGGTGGTCGATGTTGTGTTGTGTATTTGTAACATTGACAAGGAAGCCTTTAGAGCAGTCTGCAGGTAGGCTGTATTCACTTCAAATGCCTAAAAGTATATATGGCTGTCATAAGTTAATTGCCTGGGTAGTAGCTGATTATTTCTTCACTGCTATCTGGATTTGTTCCTCCTGGATTATGATACCATAACCTGGCAGAAGTTATGCTGGATCCCTTAAAACAACTCTTGACCTTGCATTTAGAAGATATACTCAGGGAACAACTTTATATTCTTCAGCATGACTACTTTGCATCTTCTTCGACTCCCACCATTAGTATCTCTGAACTGTCTTCTGGCCTGTAAAACCACGGAACGTATCTCTTACTCCTGTACCGCAAGCTAGAGTTGAGGCAGTGCTGATATACCATCTCTGTCCAATCTATCATTCTCCATATCTGGATAGTACCATAATTTTCCATGCCTCCTTTTGGTTTTTTGTTGGTTTTGGGGGCTGGGGGGGGGTTTTGTGTGCTATCGCGAGATGGAAATTGTCACACTGAAACACCAGCAGCAGGGTGTGTTCTGACAGCATGTGTCATAATCAGTCCTCAGACAAATTTTCATCTGCTTTTTGTATCAGAGCAGATCTCATACTTGCCCTTCTAGAACTAGGAATAGAGTTGGGACACCACTCCCAGAGAAATGTCATTTGCACCTGAAAGTTGCGTCGCTGCTTCAGATTGATGATTGGTACTGCAGAACTGTTCTGCACCCTGTCTTGGGTTGTGAAACCCAGAAGTGACATTTTGCACTGTTGAGTTGGCTGATACATCGCTGGAGTTGAACTGGACTTTTGATATTTGTCCCCGCAGAAATATGCATTATGCACAGTTTAAAAAACTGTCCATGTGTTGTCCCCCCCCATCTTTGTAACATTTTTACCGCACATGTCAATTCCATCCACATTGAGTTATTAAGGACCGTCACTTTTTTCTGAAGGAGATTCAGGAATACTGATGACACTATCAGCATCTTTGTCACTAGCCCAGTAGAGAACCAGAAGAGCTAAAGAGTTCTCAACCATCGTGTAGAACATGGGACGGAGAAAATGGAATTGTAGGTTATAGACCCCAAATAACCACAGTTCATTACATTCCCTGCAAGCTAGTACAGAAGCTATTGCCACAGAATCATCTTTCAGCTAAGTCATAGGAAGATGCATGTTCCCTTGCTCTGGCAGCAGAAGTCCAGCAAAATTAGCTAGTGCAGTTGTGGCATTAGATGAAGCTGCGAAACTCACGTGGCTTTGGAGCAGGTTTTCTCTCTGTTCTATTCATCTTTCACCTCTTGCAGGGCCAGAAGAGGCTGTGTTTATTGTAACTGCTGTTAGAATACAGTTTGGAATTAAAGCTCTCCCATTGTAGCCATGATTTGATGTTGGGATCTGTATCAGTAAAGAACTGATGACTCTTATCCCTAATTATATTGCTTTATTGTGGGTTGCTGCAGACCAACACAGAGATCTTTCTAGGGATGCATTAGGAAATGTGGTGATCCCTTGCATCTGAACTGCATCTGCTTTTCCTAGTAGGTTTGGTGGTAGGGGATAAGTGACATCTATATGTCACTCTTAAAAGGCTGTACAATGGTATGAGTTACATAAATTGTTCCTTAGTAACTTAAATAACTATAAACACTTCATAAAAATTAAGAAATTTGACTATCTTAATTCTATATGAAAATAGGTTTTTTGTATAGGCTGTGTTCTAGTCTAGTTAACAGTTATTTTGCTACTTATAACTCCTTTGTAGTTTTCAATGAATGTGTGAAGTAGTGAGTTTGCTGAAGTTTATCTTTAAATATTTGGTATAGCATGTAGCTTAAAAAAAGCTGAAAACAATGAAAAGAAATGTGTTTACTTGTTTAGAAAAAAATGCAAGCAAGGATGTAAGGCTATAGAAATCATTTTCAGATTAAAAAAATAAAGGTTTTGCATAGCAGAAACAAGTTGCTGTCTGTTGGACCAACAATATTGTCTCCCTCCAGGAGAAAATTACAGACTTTTGATGTCTTACAGTCTAGTCTTGAAATCTTCTCTACCATGTCCATTTTGGCACATCTGGGGATGAGTTGTGGAACAGTCAATATGAAAAACCAGCACCTCTGAAAGTTCACGTGTATTGGTTATGGTTTTAGGATTTCTTTCTTACATAGAGCTTTCTCTCTGCACATGTTTTTAAGATGTTGTGTTTCCTTATAGATATACCACAAATGAGACCAAAGCCACACTATGTAATGGTTAAGAAAGATGCTGAAACCAATGAGGCAATATATTGCACAAAGGAACCTTTTATTAAGGCTCGTGTCATTGTCATTCGATGGTTGGTGTCTTTCTGGCTTGAGCCAAAACCTCATACAGGACCTCATATTCCTGGGATGGAAGGTGAAAATGTGCCAAAGAATATTCAGGTAAAACCAAATATACAAAGAAGTGTAAAGTGTTTGTTTTCGTGTTTTTGTCTTAATTGTTATATCATCAGTGTGCACTCCTCTGATAATTAGAACTAATGAAGAATTAAATCCAGGAATTTCTAAACAAATTTTCTGTTTATGAATTCACTTTAGAAAGACTTGCTATGCTGCTTTCTTTATCTTTTTTTTTTTTTTCGAATTCTGCTGTTTTGTTTTTAATCAAATAGACATGAGAAGCCTTGAAATGCAGTGAATCCTATCTTTGGTTTTTTTTCCTGAATTCTTTGTACTGTTTTAAATTATACTGTTGTATAACTTGAATTGTGCTGTTCAGTTATTGTACTAAAAAAGAGCTGTGAATATTCTTCAATTTTTGTTTCAGAGAGCAGCTGCTAGCATGGTTTCAAGGGAGGACAGCAAAAATGACAGTACTGATAAGCAGGATAGAAATGCAGAGCCAGAACAATCTCATTCTAATACAAGTACTCTAACAGAGAGAGAACCAAGTTCTTCTAGCCTCTGCAGTATTGATGAAGAGCATTTAACTGATATTGAAATTGTCCGGAAAGTCTTTTCTTCTAAAAGAAGCAATGTGAATTTTCTAACCGAGATTTTTCGACAGGTAAAGAACCCTCTTTAGAATCAAGAATCTTGATTATTATATTGTAAATGATCATTACGTCATGGTTTTCTTTCAAGAACATTTGCTAAGCAGAATATTATATAAATGTACATTTTTTTTTTCTGTCATCTTGCCTTTAAGAATTGAAAAGTTAAAATTCTGAACTGTTTTCGGTGTAGAATATCCCTGGTTCCTGATTTTTCTATTTTATTTCTTTAATAACCAGTTCAACAACATTTAATTTGGACTTTACGGTTCCCCATAGACAGGAATGTTTGATTTTAGTCTAGTCTACCCTTGATTGGCTTAGAGTAGACTTGGTAGTGTAGGTTAATGGTTGGACTGGATGATCTTAAAGGTCTTTTCCAACCTAAATGATTCTATGATTTTGTCATATATCAACCCTGTAGCTATTAGAGCTCACAACCAAGCATATTAAAATAAGCCTCCTGTGGGAGTCTGCAGCTGTTACAGAGCTGTTTTAGGAGTGATTGAATGTCCTTACCTTGATAGCATTCATCAGAAGAGTGGGACAGATGGCTACAGAAGGTAACAGCTTCTGCTTCTGACTTTACTGCAACCAGAAATGTTAGCTGAGCATGCTCAAAATAGTGTTTCTCAACTGGAAACTATTAAACAAATTTAAACTGAGAACGTATGCCAGAATATAGAGTCTTTATTTATAATGTGAAAATACATAACTTGGAGTTCAACGTGGGAGAATAGAGCAAGATAGGCTTTCTTTATGCCCCATGCTATTGATCAAAAGATGAAGAGATTTTTCTGAATAACAATAAAGAAAAAAATACTAAGTTTCAATTGAAATGCATGACACTAATTGCTTTAAACAGCAGAAAACGAAACATTTTAAAACTCTAGTATATCTGGATGAAATAGAGATTTTCGAATGAGGGAATAAATGTCAGAAGCTTATCCACATCCAATGTCTGGAAGAG